GGAACAATTATTAAGGTATACCACGAAATACCAAATTGAGACAAATTAGAATAAAAAATTATCTTGTGTCCTTGTGGATTCAAATATGAATTTATTAAACTATTCTCCAGAATGTAGAGCATGAGGATACCCACCGTCGATTATATTTTCATTTGCTTTCAGATACGAGCTTTTATGTCACATTGCTTTCGTGAATACGTGACCATAAACTAAGACTTACAGAAATTTGCCAAATGGAAATCAGTACTGAAGAGTGTGTCTATTAACCACAAAAGGAAATTATGAAATATTAAAAAAAACAACAAAATATATTGAAAAATAAAATAGTGATTTTGCCCGACTAGAAAACTAACATACTTTCACGAATTTTTAACAAAAAAGGAGCATTATTTGCAAGTGTTTTTAACGTCAAAGAATGAAAAAAGACAAGAACGAAAAAAAGGAAAATGGCTAAGAATATTGAATTCTGAATATCTTCGACTGTTCATTATTTAAAGCAAGATTAGAAAAATGTATCCTTCTTCATCTTTTACAACGTTTTTTTTTATTTTTAAGAAAGAGTTAAGTAAACAAATGACTTATCTCTGCGACAAACTGTCCTTGAAAAGCAATAAGCAAATTAATTGTAGAAATTACTTATAAAATAAACGTTGAAAATATCTCATGAAAATGATAGTACATATTAGAAATATCGATTTAGTAAGAAAGATGACGCTTTGTAATGACAAGAAAGAAAGCGTGAACATGAATAAAGTGTAGTATGGAAGAAAACGTAACAAAATAAAATATTTGGGAGCAATATAAGGATGGCATTTCCTTTCGTAGCTAATGTAAAACATTGAAGAAGTTAACTTTTATTTGATGGCATTTCCTTGTTTCCAATACACCACTTTGTCAATTACATACTTTATAATCTAGTTACTTCTTTGAGTTTAGACGTCTTAAAGTTTATCTTTCGAATTCCATTTTCTGTTCCTAGATTCACGAAGTCTGTCTCTGTTCTACGCTCATCTCATCTTCCAACGTCCTTGGTTTTGTTCGTCGCAGCAACTTCGCTATCTTGCGGCAGCTAGACGCAGCAGCGAAATTTTCTTCGGACGAGAAACTTTCTTAACAGTTTTTAATCTAGATTTTATCACGTAAATGTTACCGAACGAAATGTGACGGACACAAATATAATCAAGTTTTGGAGAAGACTCATTTCATTTAATTAACTCAGAACGAAATGTGCGCGTATCCATCCTCTGCTTCCAAAGTCGCAACTTCTGATTTAATGAGATGTTAGAAAATTGTGTCCCTATTAATTGCAGTCTTTTCATTTTTATATTCCCCCATAGTCGGCCTCGGTCACGTAATGTCTCGAAGCAGACTTCAAGAACGTGGAATTTGAAGCTTGAACGTTCCAAAGTATGGATATTTTCATCGAAATTGTGGCATGGTTAGGTTCATATATCATCTCTAAGTATCCCAAATGAACTTTCATACTATCGATAATCATCCAACTAACTTCATAATTCACAACACTCGAAAACACTTCCATCTTTCCTAGAGTGGAAGGCAAATACCATTGCAATCACCTGTCTAGGAAAGAAGTCAAAATATCTCAGTCTTTTTCATACTTAAGTGATTCCGAATAATTTCAGACACTCAATAGTAAGTATACTTTCATTAACTTCAATATTTATTCGTATTGGAATAATTATAACGTTGAAATTATTGATAAAATTGAAATGTACCGTTTCGAGGTGTATGAATTTGGTCTAAAGATATCTCATTTGGTATTATAAAACATTATTTTTTTCTATAAGTTAGTCTAAACCACAAAGAACACAACTCTAATGGCCTGCAGCAAAAATGATGAAAACCCACAAAAATGGTTTTTCAACACGTAGCATGCACACTGATCAAAAACAACGAAAATAATACTCTCATATACACTAATATTAAATTGGCGAAATTATTTTTTTTACATTTTTAATTAAATTTTTTTAGTTTTTAATTGAGCTTTAACCAAAAAAAGTCTTAACGAATACTGAAAGGATAAGGAGAACACTTCTTTGCCTATCAGGATTATAAAAAAAGTCGCTGTTCGCAACTCATGAATAACAAATATTTAATCGCCGGCTTCGTTGCATTGATTGATTGGTTTCATGCACATTCACTGCTACGGTAGCTAGGCCGGTTAGTGTAGTGATTGCTTTATTGCGAGAGTTGGCGATGTTCCTCCACCATTGGATGCTGATATCAAGAACCAACCTACACGTTGACTTGCAGGGTATTTTCCTTTCGGATATCTCCCCCAGTCGGCACAGCACTAAGCTCCTGACATGTAAGGTGTTGAGGATAAAGCAAGCAATAAAAAAAAATCGCGCGCGCGGAGTCGCTTTTATAAGAGGACTTCCCCAGCCTTCGCCTGGTACTGATTGGAGAAACCTGTGAAAACAACCCATCGGAGCAGCAGGCCCATAGAATTCTTCAGACGGAGGCTGTATTCAACCTAATTACATAACTAGTGTCGGAAATTCACCATAGTCGGGACTTGAACCTCAGGACCTCCTGGTCATAGCCACTACAACGTCAGTGCTGACTCTCATGTGCACTCACCTGTATGTTCCTTGAAGTTTTGCGTTTGCATGACGTGAGGTTTATCGTAAGCTATTTTGTATTGAATATGAGAAAAAATCAGGATGCGCAGTATAAGTATATTCGGATTATTAGGATCAAATATTTGAAATTTTAGTCAAAATTGAAACTGTTTCATTCGTTTTTGAAGTTTTTACAAATTACTGGTTATAAAAAAAATCATAAATATCACTCAGATGGGAGGAGGCTGCATATCTTATTTAATTGTACGCGTCCATTGGAAATCAGTAATATAGTTTGTTCTTAATTCTGTGTATATAAATTGTTTCTATTACTTCCTCCACTCCTGTGCATTGCGCTCATCTCATACCGAGTACGACATACTTAGCACTAGTATTTGTAGCTGCACAGATCATACATTGGTCCAAGTTTGTAAAAAACGTGGTGCAATACTACAGTTTAAAAAAATAATCCTTGGCGTAAAACAAGTGATTCTATTAAAAACAACGCATCCAAGATTAAAAAAACGATGTTAAAATAGCGGAATAATTAAATTATTTTACTCATTTATCTCACAGAAAGGAGAACATCAATAATTGCAACAGTTCCGGGGGAAATGGAAGTTCTACAATAAATGACACGCGCTGTATGGTTTACCAGCAATATTCACGTCTCACAAATTTCGAAATGCGTTACAATTAAAATTGCCATCCTTGTGACTTTAGCTTCGTAAAAGTTGTCCACTTAAACGATGTTATCTACTCGAGTTACGGACACATATACTTTGATAAACATATGTTTATCAAACGTTTTTATATCACATATGAGGCTTAATCATTATATTCGTAATCTGGATTAAGATGTAACATTGAATAACACAGTGCAATTAATATCAAAAATAACGCGACAATTATGTCAGATAAGAATAAATCTTAGCTTTTACATTATCCATAAACTACTATTTAGTATTAAAAAAGTTTATTTCTGGATGAGTCACATACGCCCATTATAGGTGCAATTTACACATTGCACTTTCAGACCACGCTATTACAACCAGTATATTACACTGCTCTGGATTGCAGAGTATATAATTCCAGTAATGGGTTATAATTGTGAGAAAAACCCAAGTGACGGGATGGGTCGAGGTGGGTCGATGTGGGGCGGAATGGGACGCAGGGAGGAGGAGAGAGAAGTGATGGAGGAGGGCATTGGGGACGAAGCCTGTCTGGTAAGGTTGGGGTGGTTCGGAGCGGGTCAGTTTATGGCGGTGGGTGGAGACATAAGGTCGGGGATAGGAGGGCTGGAGAAAGAAGGGATGGGGAAGTGGAGAGGCAGGGCCGGGAGGCTTGCGCGGAATACAGCGACGGGAAAGAACGGCGCTTGGCCTGGCGTAGTGTGGCATGGTATGGCATAATAGGGCAGGGGACGTGGCGGGGAGGGTAAGGCGGGAATGGGAGGGGCGGAGAAGAGAGAGACGGGACGTCAAAGAACAGGGCGTTGCATGCAGGGCGGGGCGTGAGGGGCCTGGCGGGTTGTGGGCGTGGAGGTGAGGGATATGTGGATGGGGACGTGGCGGAGAAGATGCCGTGGGAGGGGCGAGTGGGGAAGGCGTGGCGGGGAAGGTAGAGGGTGCGGGCGGGGAGGGGGGTGGCGGGGGTGAGGAGGTGTTGATTGTTGAGGTGGGGTGTGGGAGACGAGGGGGTTGTGATGGAGGGCGGAGAGCGGAGGACTGGGAGGAGCAAGCGGGTGAGGCCGGAGGGGAAGGGGTGCTGGGGGCGGGCGTAGGGGCGTGGCGGTTTTGGACGTAGGAGGTTAGGGAACATGTGGGTTGGAAGGGCGGGGCGGCGGAGGAAGAGGCATGGTGGGGAGGGGCGTGACAGCAGGGGCGTGGGCGGGAGGTGCGTGGTGAGGTGGGGCGAGGAGGCGTGGGAGGTGTGGATGGAGGGACGGGGAGTGGAGGGGTGGGGGAAACTGGGTGTGGCAGGATGGGAAAGAACGGGGCGTGACATGGGGGGCGGGCGGAGTGGCGTGGAGGTGAAGGATTATGTGGAATGGGGGCGTGGCTGGGGGGGGCGTGGCGGAAGGGGTGTGGTGAGGTGGAGTGTGCGGGCGGCGAGGTGTGGTTGGAGGGGGGAGCGGAGGGTGGGGAAAGGAGGGGGGGGGGCGAGACGGGACGGAACGGGACGGGTAGGAGCGAGACAAACGCGGGCCAGGCACGCGGGGCGAGAAGAGCACCACGTGCGGAGCGGGGGCGCTAGCAAGCCAGGGCACTCACTCGTTGACGACGACGAACTTGTCGCCCTCGGAGGCCACGCAGCGGCCCTTGCTGCTGAGGCGGTCGCGCTCGATGTAGATGGGCTGGCGCACGCCTGACTGGAACCACGCGCCCTCCCAGCGGCTGGGGAAGCGGCACTGCCCTGCAACACGCCGCCACACACCGCTCTCAGCACTCGCAAGCCACGCACGAATACGTTACACACAAAGATTTCCTACTATTCTTGTTTTTTACCATTCATAAAATATTACATATACAGGTGTTACAGAATAAATGTTAAAAACTTAATGTGGTTAGGTGCGGGTAGTGAGGTCGACAATGATAATTTTTTCCAAATCAACGTATGAGTAGAAAATTTCATGTACCTCCACCCCTACACGAATTACACCCGTTTTATTTGCCCCTGAATGTTGGCATCCTAATGTGGTCAGGTGTTTGCCAGATATCTTTGATTGGGTCAGGTGAACGGCATGGTAAAGGTTAAACAGAAGGTACATACAGACAGATTTCCAACTATTCGTGTTTTTTGTCATTCATAAAATATTACATATACAGGTGTCCCAAAATAAACGTTAAAAACTTAATGTGGTCAGGGGCGTGTAGCGAGGTCGAAAATGATAATTTTTGGCAATGAAAATATTAGTAGAAAATTTCATGTACCCTCCCCCACACGAATTACACCCGTTTTATTTGCCCCTGAATGTTGGCATCTTAATGTACACAGGTCAGGCACTTGAAATATACTCGATTGGGTCAGGTGAACGGCATGGTAAAGGTTAAACACATACAGAAAGATTTCCAACTATTCTTGATTTTCATCATTCATAAAATATTACATATACAGGTTTTCCAAAATAAATGTTAAAAACTTCATGAGGTCAGGTGGGTAAGATGAGATCGAAAATGATAATTATTTTTCTAATGAACATATTAGTGGAAAATTTCATGTACCTCCCGCACAAATTACATCCGTTTTATTTGCCCCTGAATGTTGGCATCCAAATGTGCACAGGTGTTCGCCAGACACTCGAGATATCTTTGATAGGGTCAGGTGAACGGCAGGATATCTGCGCAAAAGAAGGCGCCAAACAATCAGTGGTGTCACACACGTATTATGTAACTCCATTATATGGAATTTGTCACTGTATGTTCATTCGCAAAAAGTGATCATTTTCGACATCTCTACACCCCCCAAAATTTGTATCGTTTATTCTGAGACCACCTGTACTTACAGGAATCTTAGACAGCTCATCAATTTAGGTAAACATATATATCTATTCCACGTTTGTTGACCAGAAAACAAGTTGCGTTTTATGACGACAATCAATTTCAATTTTCGCAAGTTTAATTCTGAATCGCTCGGTTGAAGGGGTTGGGAGAAACAACGCTCAAATTTCTGTCACATCTGCCATCCATAGGGAAATAAAGTTTTTGTCAAACCAGACATGTCTCACTTGGGTACAAACCTCTAGCTTCTTTTTACACAATTACTGTAGTTTCACAAACTGGTGTGAACAGGCCCAAACCGTAACCATTGATTTTTGGTGAAAACCTTTTTTTTCATATGTGAAATGAGGATTAACACTATGTTGTCGAACACTGTTTTTGTTTATTTTTAAGGAGTGAAGGGAGATACGCTGAATACTTTATATACTATGTAAAATAATACAGAATTATATAGTTGAATTGTTCAATTATCTAATTTCATTCCTTAATGGTCACATTTGGGCAAAACACAGCAATTTATTTTGTAAACACAGCAATTTAGTTTGTAAATAGAAGCGAGTCTACAAATACAACAATTAACTGTACTAACACAGTACTGTCGGATAAGATACTAAAGTAAACAATGAAAAATAAGAAATAAAGATTGTTAATTTTTTTAATTTGCCCTCATTTGTATACTGTGCACCGTTAAATTATTTCTACTGAGTGGACGTATGGTGAAAGAATGATCAAAATGTAAATCTTGTTCTACACACGATCAAAACGAAGGTCGCGTATGTATTCCTGTTTTGAAGTCCTTCATACCCAAGAATTCCTAGGAATGAAAAATCATTCCTGTTCTGAATTAAAATCCTTCTTCCGTTACGGAACCGAACTATCATGGACATAGGAAAATATTTTTTTTTAATAATGGGAGATAATTTTAAATGAAGTTAAATCTTTAAAGCTGCCAGAATTCATCATTACTGTCAGTAAGTTTCCCAGTACACATCTCAGTAGGTGGAAAAACTTCACACTGCACTCGAAGGCAAACTATTTTCAACGTCTCTCTGAATACAAGTTTCCATATTTCTTCACTAAGATTCAGACGTGAAAATTGGTAAAACATGAGTTGTCAGTGTACTGTTTAACACCAGAGGTCGTCAGATTTTAATATATAGAAATGCAAACTTTGCGTAGATTTTAGATTTTATTAGGCAGTTTAATTTAGGGATCTTGGTAAGAGCACTTTTTGTATGAATGGCATCCATATCATAAAAAACATAAAATAAAGATAATACTTTAAAAAAGTTCCCAATTATTTATCCATCGGATCAGGTCGTTTTGTAAAAATCAACTGGAACTCAAATGATGTGTTAAAATTCACTTCCTTGTGATTGTATTGCTGTAACAGACAGCTATTCTCAAAATTGTGTCTTTCCTGCGACGTCTGTTATGTGTACACAAATGCTTGATAATTTTCCCACGTTTCCAAGAATATTTACAATTCATTCTCTGCGAAGCACCAAATCACCAGTGTTCCACGTTCTTTTCGACACAATGCCCTCGTCGAGAAAGCTTCTCCGCGCCCTCGCCAGGGGCGCCTCCGTCGCCTTCGCTTCACCTCGCGAAGAGGGTTCCCCCTCCCCCACCACCACTTCCGTCCTCCCCCCTCCCCATCGCTGCGCGCTCGCCAAGGAGCCGTCGCCGGAGGAAATGGAGTGTCGCCGGCGCCCTGCCCCTCCCTCCTCCCCCTTCCCCGCCTCCGTTCTTCCACTCCACTCTCCGTCACCGTCACCAACGCCGTCTCGGCTACTGGCGTCGCCTTCGTCTCGACCATGGAATTGCTAGTTCACTTTAAGTTCCCTGGCGGCGAAATAAGGAACTACTGTTTATATCAGACCACTCCCTTCTATATCCCTGCAACCCATGCATGCCTCCATGGAGATTTGGAAGTAAACATGAAACAAACACAACCCTGCCTTAGAACAATTGTTTTCTAAGCTCACATTCGAACACATAGCTCATAACTCCCGGAAATTACCAAACATTTAACTAGGTTATTTGTTCCTTTCGCAGATTTTTGGAGAGACGGCTTCCTATTCTGCTAGATGCGTGCAACGAGCGGTACATGATGAAAACACACAATAGCTTTTCCACAACCCTAGCCCAACAAATTGAACAGTAATACCTGAAGATATTTTCTATACAATCGACTTCAGACCTTTCTAATTCTATGCACGAAGTTTTCACTGGCCCAAGCATGATCTTTAGTCATGTGGGGGTTTGACAAGAACGTAAGAGTGTCAGTGAATGTGGTGAGTGAAACACGTTAACTCCAAATTAATATGATTAATAAAAAAGTAATGAATTCCCTTAGAAACAGGCACCGTAACTTTTAGCGTAACGTAATGTTAGATTTGTGTTACATAACAGTCTACCGAGTTTAATAACTATTTTCACCCACAGCCTAAGAAGCGACATGTGTTCCGCGAGTGTACATTTGGTACATTGATCTAATGATCGGAACATCACTATTTTGTTTCCTGCCATTAACGTCCCCAGTATTGACCAATAATCTCAATAAGAACAATGAATTTCAATTTTTAAACAGAATTTCTGAAGGGCATTAGTGGAATCGTAAACGATGTTTTTTTATTGCTTTTACTACATCATTTAATATCACATTCATACCACTTTTAATACCACATTTTGTACCGTTATTCCTGCTCTCTTTGTTTGGGTCATTTTTTTCATTTCACAGTGTTTTATGTCACTGCCGTCATCACTGCATGACCTCGTCAATGGTCTTATTACTTTCGATTATGCAACAGCCGGCATCTATTCATTCAACGATCTTATACTGACTTTTCGACTTTCCTGATTAACAGTCAGGAAACCAATTCTATGTCCTCTGGTTTTCAACACCATCACGTGAAGCGTCATTACGTTTGTTAGGGTACTACTCCGGCATTCGTCTGGTGTTGATCGGAGAAACCAACAAAGGAAACCTACCCTGTCAGAGCAGCCGGCCAATAGAATTCTCCTCGCGACAGAGGCAGAAATCGAACTAGCTATGCTGCTAGTGTCGAAAATCCTGACACTGGCGGGGGTCGAATCCTCCCTGTCATAGGTAATGTAGTGACATCAGTTGATACACTGAACCACTACAGCCAGTGCTATTATCGCCCTAAGGAATATCTCTTCTTTCATTTTCTCACTTGCCATCGTCACAAAGAACACTACCACCAAAACCACCACCCCCTGCCTCATTTTACACACCTGCTAGTGTCGAAAATCCTGCTACAGTCGGGACTCGAACGCTAAAAGCTCCGGGTCATAGGAACTAGAGTGACATCAGTTGATACACTGAACCACCTCAGCCAGCGCCATTATCGCAAATAAGGAATTGCTCTACCTTCCAATGCCTCAATTGCCATCGTCACAGCGAACGCTAACACCATTGTCTCCAACGCCACCACTGCCAAGACCACCACTTTGCTGCCACCACCTGCCTCATTTTTTCAAGAACTTTCCCCTCTGTTCGTTTCCCCTTCCCCTCCCCCTCCCCACCCCCTTCCAGCGAAAAGGTGCCGACGGTTGTTTGTCAATATTATCGGTTTCCCCCGGAGCCACTTTTATTTCCGACGGGGGAAAAATTCTTAATTTCTCTAATGGCTAATCTCCTTGCCGGGAGAGAGAAAAAAAAGAAAATAATAAAAACGCTTCGAGAATGAGGCACAATCAGAAAACTCTGAATCTAATTTCTCTGTCTCGGCGCGGCCAAGACGGCGAGGAATTTCTGAGGTGTTCGTCTTCGTCTGCTTCGTAAAGCAACTGCGCGCTCCGCTCTTCAAATGACTTACGCGCCGCGCCGCCTATAAAAGAGCTCGTCGGCGGACTCATTTCGAGATCCAGCCGGTCAAACAATGTAAT